AGGAATGAAGAGTTGTGAATAGGACAGAAGAAAGAGTATAGAGAGAAAAAAATAAACCACAAAAAACAACCTAAGGAGAATCCAAATCCAACTTAAGAAATATTATTTTGAGTTGCAACCATTAGGCTGAATTAGAGGTGGAGGTATTTTGCATTTTTTCACACAATTTGAATTTGAGATTCCACCTTCTTTCTGCTCCTGGACCATCTTCATTACTGTAATTTATTTAAGTGCAAGTCTCATCCTTTCTTCTGCTTATTTATTAATATATATGTACTTGTGACAACACATATGCCGATGTAGTTTTTTGTTCTCCTTAAGCCTTTGAATGTTTTTCTTAATGATAGAAAAATGCATGATTTATTACTTGGATCTGTAGATCATCTAGCAATGAGAATTGATGGATAATACAGATTGTAATAATTTTCCATGGTGATTTTTAAAAAGATTTGAAGGCCAAATAGGTCTCAACCTTCTGGCATAGAAAAGGAAACACTGTATTTAAAATGTAAAAGGCAGGAACCAACTGGTTTTGTAGGTACGATATGTGCTTAAATTAAAAGGAGCCAGAAAACATCCACTAAGTTGGATGAAGCTTATCTATAATTAAAAGATGCTGAACCTCTTTCTTCCAAGAACAATGAAAATATTCAAGTTATGTTTGGGGGCCAGCATGAAACAGAGATGAAAGAAATTGCAGTTTGCTGTTGTAAAAATACCTCTGGCTCACTCTTCAGAATATTTCACATATTTTAAATTTTTGAAGTTAGGTTTTATATATGAACATTTTAAGTTACCTTGAGAAATTATACAGCCCAAACATTCAAACTAGAGAAGTGAAGTGAAATGAAATTCTCTTGTCCGATAAGAGAAATTTTTTGTCAAAAATGCTTTTCAATTGGTGGAACACTGATCTTTGTCAGACCCCTGGGCTGACTTGCTCTGTTTGTCTAAATAGAAGTTAAATAGATGCAGAATGTCTGTCTTTTGATGACTCTGAAGTAGTTTCCTTTTTTCTTTTTTCTTTTTTCTTTTTTTTTTTTTTGTTTGGTTTGGTTTTGGTTTTTTTGTTGTTTTTTTAATTCTTGGGGCAGGAGGAAGGATGTCACCTGGATGTCAGGAAGCTTTCAAAATTTTCAAGCGAGACCATGCTGACAGCAGAGCCATTGAGGACAACAAAGAGATTCTAAAACAGAGGTAAATGTCACAGCAAGGTACAGCTAGCGGGAGACATCTTAGAGTTCATTATGAGTCTGGGCAGGTATGTGTAATTTCACACCAGACATCCCAGGCTTCTGTTGAGATCTTAGTACAGAAACTTTGACATTTCTTCCTGGGGATATTTGATATTCAGAAGGCACTGAGTGGTGATAGAATAAAAATCTGGACAGAATATGAATGTGCCATGAGGAACCTTAGTGCATCTTTCTTCTGGTTTTATTCATCATATCTTCATAGGCATGTTGAAGCAATGTGGTAAATAGCATTCATCACAGACTCACAGAATGGTAGGGGTTGGAAGGGAACTCTGGAGATCATCTAGTTCAACTCTCCTGCTAGAGCAGGATCCCCTAGAGCAGATTACACAGGAACACATCTAGGCAGGTTTTGAATGTCTCCAGGGATGGACACTCCACAGTCTCCCTGGGCAGCTTTTTCCAGTGCTCTGTTGCCCTCAGAGTAAAGAAGTATTTTCTTAAATTTTGGTTAAACCTCCTGTGTACCAGTTTGTGACCATTACCCCTTGTTCTGACACTGGACACCACTGAGAAGAGTCCGATCCCACCCTCCTGACACCCACTCTTTAGGTATTTATAAACATTGATGAGATACCCCTTCAGCCTCCCTTTCTCTAAGATGAACAGACCCAGCTCTCCCAGCCTTTCCTCATATAAATTATCTAGAGGAAGTAAGACCCATGTGACTGAATCGATTACTGCTATTTCCATTGACAAAAATGCTTTACTGGCTTCAGTACTGAGTTGGACAGTAAGCTAGGAGATGTTTAACATATGCTTTTGTCTGTTGTTCCTAACTTGTTTGCCAAGTGATTTTAGCTCCTCTCTGCCAGTTTTGCACTCAAAAACAGAAGTAATACTTTCCTCCTCCACATTTGTTGTTAATGCTGGCAAAACACTTGAAAACCTTCAAGTGAAGATGTTGAGAATGGCAAAACATTGAAAATGTGGATTTTCAGAAAGCTGCTTTTAAACATCTCCAAAATTAAGTCACCATCACTTGTCCATGTTGACTGCATAGCTGCACTGTTTCAATGTCAGTTTTTCAAGTATTAACCCTCCTTGTACTCTGTAAGAAATGCAAGGTTTAAGACTGGAGATGTCAAAAGCAGATCTCTCAATCTGCCTTTTTTTTTTTATTTATTTTGTCCTGGGGTTTTCTCCTTCCCCAGATTTCTTCTGCTTTCTTGAAAACAAATTTTTCCTATGTAGTAGACATGAAAGACATTTCAGAGTCTTATACTCATTTACATCAGCGGAATTGAGGCAAGAAATTATCTCCACATCTCTGTGACTTATTGAAGGTCTTATTGAAGATAAGCTTTATAGCCTTCTTATTGAAGGCTATTTATCACTTTTCTGAACTGGTTATCTTTCTACCTGGGTCTAAAACTTAGCCACAGACACAAATTACCAAGATCTAAGAAGTATGCATAGATTTATCCATGTCGATTGGATATTTAGTAATGCCTTTCTTCTGATCAATATAAAAGATGATGCCACAACATTGTGTCATCACTGCATACATGATTACACTTCAGTCATTTCTGGCATTGCTGTCTATTGAGCAGAACGCTTTGTGGTCACAGCATGATAATGGGAGCAATACAATTGTGAGTCATACCCTGAATTTCCTCTAGTTAATCACAATTCTTCCATATTTTCTCTGTTTGTTATTACTATGAAGCAAACCAGTATTTCCTTCTGGTTTCATAACATGTAATAGAGAAGGGCAGAACCCACAAAGTTTGACACCAGATTTGCTGTCCATAAAGAACAAAGAGATTCAGAGTAATGCCTTGGGTAACCCCTCCCATGCATCAACTGATTGCTGAAATCAGCGTTAATGTGAATGTTGATACCCTTAGAGCAAGACAGTTTTACCCTGCCATTTGCAGTCATTTATAGCAAAGAATTCTATAGCTCCAAGTTTACTGAGTTCATTAAAATGGATTTATAAGAAGTCCAGCCTGTAATTTGGAATGCAGCCTCTGAACTACCAGTTACACAAAAGCTCTGTTACCCAGCCAGTGTTGAAATTGCACAGGAAGAAGTGTGTGGACACCACATGCTTAGAGATTACCATTGCTTCCCTTTATCTGTAGGCCTCTCATGTTAATAATTTTGTTTATAGTTCCATAACCACTTCTGTCATACCACAAACAAAATTTGGTTCATGAATTACTTATTTTTAGCTGTCTTAATTTTCCCCATGGGTAGATTTTCTCAGCTTGCTTATTATATAATTCTTACATTAATTGTGAACTGTCAGACAGCTTAGTTGGAAGTTTGACTGTGAAGGTCACAAATCTTGCAAGGGATTTTAAATTATTTGTGTACATGTGAATATACATAGTCATACACACGCAACACACTTGTATTTTTTTCTGTAACTACCTGTGTTTAAGAAATAAAATGTAATCAGCTGATTAAATAAAAAAACATTTGTCTTGTTTTAAAAAACTTAAATAAAAGAAGATTAGATTTTAAACACAAAACTTTTCTCCTACTTCTTCAGGACCATTTACATGGCCTTTACCTCAGAACTGTAATTCGGTACAATCTCTGGATTTAAAAAGTGAGGAAACTTGGATAGTTAAGGATAATTTCTTTCTGAAGCTCAGTTTCTGACTTACTCATTTACTGACTTACGTGAAAGACAATAAATTCAAGATACCCCCCCCCCCCCCTTAGGACACTTGCTAACAGGAAGTGGCTCTGTAAGGTAGAAAAGGTCATCTTCTTCAGCTTAGTGTGCAGTTAAACATTTCTTCTGTGCATTAGTAACTGCTGCTTTGCTTAAAGAAAAATAAAATAAAATAAAATACATAAATCTGTGTTTAGGCCCAGAGAGAACCAGATTTCTGCAATTTGGACTTCCTATATTTGACTTCCCGGTAACTTAATAATATTCTGGTTCTCAATGCAACTGTGTTCTTTTAGCATTGCTTCTCTGAGAAGAAAAAAAATGAAGCTAATTTTATGGTGAAATATACTACAAAGAAATCTTCCCAGCTGAGCCACTCCAATGTAATATTTCATACTGCACAAAGCTTTTAAATCCTATCCTAGTCAATATTTCTAGTATTAAAATTCTACTGAGCTTATAGATGTGATGTAAATCTAGTTTCCATTTTGTTGATCTCCTTTATTTTTTTCCACTTTCTTCTTTCCTTGCTTTCTGTGTTTCAGCTGATTAGCAGCTGACTTGTTTTTTCTGTACCTATGGATGAGTTTCATGGGAAGGATGAGTTTCACTTAGGTCACTTGTTTTTGTAATTTCTAATAATTGAAAATGAGTGACCTTTCATTTAATTCACTAAATGTCTCCATTTTCTCACCGGACAGGCTCTGAGTTTGTCTTGGTTTACCTTATGAGTTAGAAATTTCTCAAAATGTTTATTTTTTCATTACTGGCATTTAAATTCAAAGAGTAAAATCTATGCAAAAACGCTTGTTCCACTAAAATGAGTGGCTAAATTCACTTTGAAGTTTCATCATGAAATATTTATCTTGTGGGTAATAGAAGCCATGATTTGGCAACTTCAGCCTTTCTATGGAATGATCTCCTTGTAGGATAAACATGAACTATTTTCAGCTGACAATACAATTGTTCCCTCATCACTATTTGTACCAATATCACCTTTATGCTAGACAATATATCACTTTTTTATTAGAGAAGTATCAGAAATAACCTTTTCCCTTTCAATATGAGAGTCAAATCTTATGTCTTTATCTGGTTTATTTTGTTTGACTGTGATTCATAGTCACAGATGGAATTTGTTGGACTGTCATAAATTAATGCCAAATTTCAGTTTATGTTATTGTGCCTGTTTATAAACTGTGGTGTTTGAGAAACACATGCATGGCCCATTCAACTATTGGCAGTAACCTTTGAATAAAGGCTGGATAGTTAGCTGGCTCCAACTTGCCCAACTAAATCTCTCTGTGAACATGAATCAGAGTCAACAGTCAACAGGAGATTTGCCTCAGGAATTACTAAGTAATTGAAGAACTTAGTATTTGGCTCATGGAAACTGAGAGAAAGAAAGAGAGAGGTGCTTTGGGGTGTTTCCCTTTGATCTTTACACAATCTTCAGGCCTGCTTGTGTGCTGTAAGTCAACACTACTGGAAAAAGCTGATTTAAATGCCTTACTGATGCTTCAAAGTCTTCTGCCTTCTTTATGTAAGAAGCAGTAGGTGCTGAGGAACACTTCAGCTTCAGCCATTTAGCCATGTTGAATTCAGCCTTGAAAGCAAATGTTCATGAGCAGATACGAATACGGGTACTTGAAATGCTAATTTGTTCTAGTTTTACAGGGAAATGGACAAACTGAGAAAGCGCAGATTTCCACATCCTTCCTCCTCGTGGGCAATTTGTATTTCTTGACACTGTTTTGCCATTATTTGAGTTAGGTAGAAATGCAATTTGTGGATTTCTTCAGTTACTTTGGCTAGACCAAGACCATTCCAGATCAGCTGAAGGATTGCTTAAAAATTAAGTATTCCAGTTCTGTCTCCACATCCAGCAGCATTCAGCTGGTACACATCCAAGTAACAATTCAGAATTTTACATCAAGCTTATGTCTTACAACAAATGACACAATGCAAAAGCTCATCCTTCTATGTTTTAAACTATTGATATTTATACTATTACAATGGATATTTCCTTGAACAAGCCTCCGTTCTCTCAGAGACTCTTCAAACTGTGCCATAGTAGATTGAGTTGACTGTCGGTATTTTTACAGCAGGATATACTTGGCATTTGAAAGCCTGATACATATGCCATTTGTCCTAAACAGTTTTATGTAGTATTGAGTTAAATAAATGGAAGAGAAGAATTATGACAGCAACTAATGTAAAATGATGAGAAAACTGACAGGAAAAAAAACCACAAAAGAAGGCATCAAGCTCTAGCAGACTGTAGGGAATGCAGAGAATATAAGTAAATTCATAAGCCTCTGTTTTTTTCATAATTCATAAGCAGCTGTTTTTTAAAAACAAACTTAGTTCTGACACATTTCCTAAGGAGTGAGGATCACTGCAACACTATCTGAACATTAGAATATATACATACTCTGTCAAAGTTTGATTATTTTAATATAATGGTAGCAAGTGAATTAATTTAGAAACACACCTGGTGGGAATTACATATTAAAAAACCCCCTCATTTCCATGTTTGATACAAGGTCAAGCTACTTGCATACTACAAATAGGGCGTTTCCAAAGCTTGATTCATTGATTTGCTTCAGTCCTTCTCAACATGTTTCTTGCTTGCTATTTGCATATATATTCATGTGGCTAGCCTCAGTTTATATTGGTATTTGGGCAGTACCTGAATATCATCTGAAAGTTTGTGTTCACTGTCAAAAAACAATAACCTAGTTTTGTCACACCTTCTTGTATTTCTGATGGTGAGGTTTCTTAATGATAGAGGTGTACATTTTCATACTGCACAAAGAATGATCATCAGCAATATGCAAATTATAGGCTGAAATTTTAAAATTCCAGGTGAGATGAAGATCTAATACTTCCAAATATTTTTATTTGACTTAGATTGGATTTTTTTTCTTTTACATTTACACAGCTGTATGTTAAAACATTGCAAGTAGTATAACATATTAAAATTATTATTGTGTAATATGACTATTTAATATAATCCAAACGTTAGGACTGGAATAATATAATTTTAAAAACTTATAAAGTCAAATAATTTTGTTTTGTCTGTCTAGCAAGCCTATTTGTTGCATGGTTTCTTTCAGAAACGGTTTATTTTAAACTAGGCAATCTTTTTTTATGGAAAATTGTTTCCAACTAGCTTTGCTTACAAACCAAATTCAGTCCTGACTTATTCTGTATTTTATTGTAAACAACTTCTTTAAGTAGTTGTTCTTTAAATAATTCTGTATCATTGTGTTACATTGACAGGTTTGCCGAAGCTAAATGCCTTGGAGATAAATTAAATGAAGTGAGAAATAAGATAAGTGAGTACATTTCAGCTTCGTTTTACATTGTAGCTTATGAAATCACAGCATTCGGAGGAGGAAATTCCAGTTTCTAATAGAAAAAAATCAATGCATTACTAAGATTTCCAATAAGGTAAATTGTTAGCTGACTGTAACAGTAATAGCTTTATGTACCAGTTTTGATTATTTCAAATATCATCATATGAAAAACAGCTTCCTTCTTAAGAGAATGCCTGAAATGTTTTGCTTTAGATCCCCAACAGATATCCTTGGGTCCTGCTTTCAGATTGTTCAAAACTAAAAATCGCCTGTAGGTACATTCAGCCCCAAGATAGGTTTATCTGATCTTCCTAGCAGCTTTTGACATGTTCCTAATTGACTTCTGAGCTGATTCCAAGCCTGTAGTGTCTTTGCTAAAAATTGACTCTCCAGGCTCTCTGTTAGATTTGAAACACACATTTTGTCCTCTGTCCCTGAATCCTTGGAGATCAGGTCCATGTCCTCCTCTATGCATACATTCAGGTGAACCAAGTCCCTTCAAGCTTCCAGATGCAGACTGTGAGGGATTAGATTTAAATGTAATCTGGCATCCAGGTCCAGTGGTGTAGCCCTTGCTCTCAGCTTCTATCTCCTTACTCTTTGGGTGGCACCACCACTGACACGGACAATGAAATCATTATCACCATGTCTTGTAACAGCAGTTGACTTCTGGAAAAGGTCAAAAATCTCATGACTCCTGACAAGTGCTCTTTTACTTTCACCATAGCTATGATTATATTCTCTGTGGTCATGAATGGTAGCTACTGCCAGATTCCTTTGGGTACACCTTTGGGTACACCACAAGTCCCTCAGAGATATTATGCAGTATATTTAAAGTTATGTCAGCTGTGAGGAAATCCTCAGCCATGTTGGCACTGTGTTTTCAAACCACAGCACAAAGGACGGTTGAAAGAGATCCAGAACCATAGGCATCAGGTGCTGAGCCCTGCTGCAGCAACATTCTGAACAGTGGGTAATTTTTATAAGACATGACACTTAAATCAACCTGCCTTCTCTCAGTAGACTCATTTGTCTTCTTCAGACTGGACAGAACGTAAGTGTCAGTACGGAACTGGTGCATGGATATCCTCAGATTGGCCCACGCAAGTAGAATTTCAATACTCACCTTGCAACTATGGGTATCTCCTGTGTCCATATAAACTCACTTAAATCCTGTGAAGCAAGCTTTTTGCTCTAGTAAATGGAAAAGCAGCTAAACCTACTATGGAGGATAATGTGCGTTATTCTCCAAGTAACAAGAAACATCTCTAAGATGAATAATGTCTGCAGCTTTTGGGCAGTGTTGTGCATGGGTTTGAACATGAGCCATCACATCAGGATACAATCTCTTTCTCTGCCACCATCTTGGAGTCCACATTGTCCTGATTTATTTCTGTCTACTAGATTTACTTGTCTGTGATAAGGCCAAGAGATTTCTTGGCCTAAAGGCAGATCCAAAGTCAGCACTGAGTGTCAGACTTGCTGAATTTGAAATCTGTTGTGGGGCAAGCATAGTGAACACCAGCGATAAGCAGCCATACACAAGCACATCTTTCTCAGTGCCTGGGGCTGCAATGGTGCAGCTTGAAGATGGGAGCCTAGCAGCCACCTTACATACACCTCATATCTCTTGCAAATGTCTTGGGGGGAGAACAAATGTTTGGAAGGTGTGGGAGACAGTACAAGAGGTGGTGGGACATGTGCGAGTCCTGAAGGTACCACTTACAGTGTCACATTGGGTCAATACTTGTGTGGTCTCTTAAGTCCCTTGAGATTTGCAGGAGCCTGCGACAGCAGCTCTCAGAAATAATCACGTAACAACGTGGTATAGATGTAGCCTCTCAAGACTGTTTCTGTGGATCCCAGCAAAATGGAAAAGAAATCCTTGGTTTGGACTGAATCACTGTGGGTTTTTCCCCAGTAAGTCAGGCGAAACTTCTGATGGCTCTAGTGCAGTAGAGTATGGATTTTGCTGCAATTAAAAGCATCTGTTTTAAAATTTGGTTTTGGTGAACTTTTTCAGCGTTAGAAGGGAAACAGAGCAGTATATTTGGGGAACATGAATGATACAAAAATCTCAGTGCATATTTCTATGCGCATGTAAACTAAAAAACCAAACTGATCCCCTCAATAAAACGAGCAGCTGTATAACAAAACAGAACTTATACACTGAACTTGACAATGCTTATATGCTTCCTATAGTAAATTGTAATAGCTTGTGGACCACATGAATATTGAAGAGCTCCTTTAAAGAGCAAACTAGAAGTGTCTTCTTAGTTCTGTGAAAAATGGCACAAAATTGCACATTTTGATTTTGTTTTGGTATATAGTGTAGCCATGAGTAAAGTGTTTCCAAATTGAAAATTCATTTTGTTACTCTTTTTTTCTTTCAGTAGTAAAATGAAAAAATTGTCTTTTCATTTAGTTCATACTGTAATCCTACTGTATAAGCAAGAGATTCCATCCGTGTTGTATCTTTTTATAGCTATCCATATGCTAATGTATACAGATTATGCGGATGTACACTACTTTGTGAATGTTTTTTAAACACTGATGTCTGAGGCTTGAGAGTGGTCATATTGTCCAGTCCCTCAATTCTTTCTGTGTAACTTTATGTAGCCTGTGAAAATTAGCAATCTGGTTAACATAAATATTATTCACCTATCATTTTTTCTTATCCACCTTTTTTTTTTTTTTTTTAATGATAGTTGTTAACAAGTCTACCTATTGGCACCTCTCTAACAGTTACAAAATCTTTGCATCCAATATGACACCTTCTGGTTTATTCAGCTTAGCCAATGCACTTACACGAATTTATATAGTTTAGCAGCCTGAAACAATTTTTCAGTTAAGTTTGTCTCATCATAGCATACATCCTCAGAAGACCATTATAGATGCTAAGTAGGGTTACTAACCTGCCAAATTTTTACTGAAAATGCGGTAGGAGAAATAAGAGTCATCTGCGGCCTGCAACTAGATCTTTAATTTCTTTTTATTGTTGTTTCAGTTTCTTTAAGCATTCCTGGCTGCCGTGTTGTGCACAATCAAGAACAGATCACATCAATATCAGTTTCTGTTATTTCTAAGCTACACAGAATAGTTGAAAACTATGCACCACCGAGGACACAGAGCCCATTTCATGCAGTCTGGTTATGTTTTGAGATAGTGACAGCAGTTGGCTGTAACGTTTATGTCATAAGTACCTTTTCATTCTGAGTTTGGAAATATCAATGTTTTGCAGTAAAAAGTACACAAAATACTCCAACCACTTCTCAGTTACAATAATATTTCAAAAACATCAGGGTATGGAAAAAGAAATTTGCAGTAAGATTTTCGTGGTAAGCTTTTGCTTGTGTTATTGCTTGCTTAAAAAGATTAAGGAAAACAATATCTACATTTAGGCTGAAGTTTAGGTGCAGAATGACTGTAATATCAGAAATGAGACACTGTGGCTAGCATGCATCTTTGCTACTATACCACACATTCCTGGACTCTGTCTCCTTTTATGTTTAATAGCACTGCCAACAATACAGAGATTTTAATATTTAAATGGAAAAGAATGTCTTAGATTTTTCATAGTGCTTAGTTCTCACAATGGCCTCCTAGAAATAAGGTGAATTTTACTGTGGGGTAAAAATTGTCTTTTTCTGATTTTTAAGAAGAAGAAGAAACAGATGGAAGCTAAGCCAGGTCATTTTAGTAATCCTGTTTACTGCATTATTACACAAACCTCTGTGTAGGCACCAGTAAACAAGCAGAGGGCTTTGGGCAAGCAGTGAGAGGTACTTGCCTTTGGAAGTCAGTATACTGTATAAATATACCACCAAAAGGCAGATAAATGAAGTATAGATTTTGAATATGTAGACATGGCTGGATTGGTTTGACTGAACTATTCAGAATTGCTTTCATATGACTGGGGAATGTACCCAAGGACAAGTCTCTAAAAGACAAAACCAGAAAACCAACAAAAGTAAAAGTGGGAATAAATAACTGAGAGGTCAGGAAATTAATGAGAACTCTGTAACCAGTGGAGGAGAAATAGAAAATGGGCCAGCACTGACATACAATCAGATTTTTGCTTTTCTGGTCCCACATTAAGAATTTTAAAAGTGTGTATTTCACCGGCTGAAAATAAAATAAAACAAAGTTTATCTTCCTGTGAAAAAAAATGCTCTGCCACTGCAAGTATTTTTGTATTGTATCATTTCCAAAGAGTTAGGGTCTCTAACAGGAGTTATAGATCCTAGGGTTTTGTTGGAAAAGACTTAATTAAAAACAAAACAAAACAAAACAAAAAAAAATGATGCTGAAGCCAAAGGGTTGATTTCAGATTAATGAAAGTATAAAATTTCTTCTTGCAAAAAATAGAGTGATAGTGCTTTGCACATTGCGATGGGTCAGCCTGGGCTGGCTGCTTGGTGCCTATCCAGCTGCACTCTTATTCCTCTTCCTCAGCAGAATAAGTGGAGAAAATAAGAAAAAGCTCAGGGCTCAAGGGAGAGATGGGGAGATCACTAACCAATTGCCATCACAGGCAAAACAGTCTCAAGTTGAAGAAAACAAATTTAATTTCTTGTCAAATAAAATAGAGCTGGATGGTGAGGAACAAAGACAGAACCTCTGAAGTCAAAACTTTTTCCTTATCAGGGTTAGCAGGAGCTTTATTTCTAGGACACTGTTACCAACAAGGTGGTTTTTGCACCGTTACCAAAAACATTCTGTGTGAAAAGATTCTGACAGTAAGGAGAAAAGTGTACATCTAAACAAACTGCAAAGCATTAAATAACAACAAAAAGGCCCTACATTGATACTGCTACTAGATTGATAATACACCAAACTAGAGTTGGGGGACTTACAGTGTTTTCAGTGTAAACTGACATTCATTCTGAATTCAGTGACTAAAAAAATTCCCTGTATACAAGCATGTGCTATGTGTTAGATGTATTTAAGATTAGTAAAGATTTCCAGTTCATCCCTAT